ATTCACACATTTTAATGATTTGACCACCCATAATTACAATTTTGCCACTAAAACTGCTACTACTAAAATTACATTCCATGTATTCAGTTTTAGATCTACTCAAACGAAAACCTTTAGACTCTAATGTAGACCTCCATAATTCATGTTTTTACAGAATTCTTTCTCTAGTTTTATCTACAAGAACGATATCATCAGCTAAAAGCATAAACCAAAGTACATTATCTTGTAAACATATGTATCGCCTTAATTATACCTCATAGTCGAAACTGCTCAATCCTTGTCATGTTGAAGCTCCTTCTAACATTCATCAAAATAGAGCATCAAATGTGCATACAATATTTGTTGAAGCCGAGCATTAGTTTAAATTTAATTTTTATAAGAATGAGATTTTATACTATAAATATTAAATATGACCAGACCATCTAAAACGACTCTCTCTACTCTTATCTGTCACTAGAGCTACACCAACCCTATCATGGATATATTCATTTCACATTTTGTCTCTAAGTGTCAAGCCACTCATCCACCTAAGCATTCACATCTCAGCAACACACAACTCTGTTTTATGCTTATCTTCTAAAGGCCAACATTTTGCGTCATAGAGCATTGCAGGTCTCACCACCATCTTATAAAATTTTTCATTCAGTCTAAGCGATACTTTTCTATCACACAATAGGCCAGATGCATTCCTCCACTTCAACCAACCAACTTGAATTCTACTAATAACATCCCCACCTATATCGCCATCACTTTGAACAATAGACCAGAGATATCTAAAGCATTCACACATTTTAATGATTTGATCACCCATAATTACAAATTTGCCACTAAAACTGCTACTACTAAAATTACATTCCATGTATTCAGTTTTAGATCTACTCAAACGAAAACCTTTAGACTCTAATGTAGACCTCCATAATTCATGTTTTTACAGAATTCTTTCTCTAGTTTTATCTACAAGAACGATATCATCAGCGAAAAGCATAAACCAAAGTACATTATCTTGTAAACATATGTATCGCCTTAATTATACCTCATAATCGAAACTGCTCAATCCTTGTCATGTTGAAGCTCCTCCTAACATTCATCAAAATAGAGCATTGAATGTGCATACAATACTTGTTGAAGCCGAGCATTAGTAATTCCCTCTCTTTCTAATTATAGAATTTTTTAAATTTTATTAAGATAAGTTGGATAAATTCTTTTAAAATATATTATATCTAATTTTAAAAATTAATTTTTATAAGAATGAGATTTTATACTATAAATTTAATTTATAAAGTTAAATTTTATTTTTGCATAATTTGTGTTGTGAAATTTTTTAATAAAGAATAATAGAAAAATATATATATAATAAAACTAATTAATAAAATATAAAAACGTGTTCATGGCATATTGTGTCTTATTTTTTTCAATTATATAGTGTTTCAATTATGTCGTGTCCCCGCATCATATTATATCGTGTCCGTGTCCCCGTATCTGTATCTGTGCTTCATAGTGAAAATCTCAGTTCCATTATCTTAGGTTAACTACTTCAATTATGTCGTGTCCCTGCATCATGTTATATCGTGTCCATGTCCCCGAGTGAAAATCTCAGTTCCATTATCTTAGGTTAACTAGATGGAACCACTTTACTAATGATAGAGGTTGAAAAGGCCAAATCATCCAAGAAGTCCAATTAGCAACCACAGTTGCCGCCTATCAAACATCTAAACTAGATCTCGGAGGTAGACGTTGAAGGGCATAGTCCTTAAAAATGAAACCCAAAGTTTATCTTGGAAAAATAAATATATAAGGGGATTAGCATGTTTAATCGTGGTTTAGAGGTTCAAGAACATGAACATTTTAAGTGATAGTACAAATGGGCTCGACATATTCATATAGAAGTTAGCTCGAAGATAGCACATTGCTAACTCAGATACGCCAACATAGCTAGTTTGCTTCTTCAAGGAAAGGTCAGAAAAGGTATGCAAATCCCAAAGATGTAGGGGGACACCAAAGGGTATGGCCCAACCCAAGAATGGCAATATATGTTCCCTCTAGATGGAGAATACCTGGGAAGGTAGATTAAAAGATCTCCAATGGCCAAATCAGTTTCAAAAAATAACTGTCTAATAGCATTTCGGTTCAATGAAGGTCGGATGTTGAGTCCCAGAACATCACCTTACGCACAACGCAACGAAATTTTCTCATGTGATGGATTATCTACTATACACTCAATGGAAGTCTAATGCTTACAACTCCATTGGTAAATATGCCTAAGAGTGACACTTAAATAGTTAATGACAATGATTAATCATACAACCCCGCCTTACTGTAAATATCCTCGAATGTCTTATGCAAAAGTAAAGCCCAATATCTTTGCAAATGACATGATATTGGGTCCTAAGGAAAAAAAATCGGGTTTATAACATTGCTAATGTAGAATGCTAATAATTGAGACTTATAACCTTAAGCGCAAGAAAGCCCTTGATATAGGTCTTACTACTATGATATTTCAAAAGCTTATTTATATGACTTATGATTGTGAATAGAGAGATTGACAATGAACCTTACAACCACTACCTATATGTGGGAAACCCAAAGTGAATCACTATAAACAACAATAAAAGTTTAATGCAAATGCAATGCCAAACATCTTGGCAATTATCACATCTTCAAATCATGGAGCACACTATTTAAAATATTTTTCATATACGTTATTGTAGGCATTCGACAACTCTACTAAGGTTATCACAATTAGGTGAGCTCTTATTATTCCATCAAGAAAATAGGCGTGTTTGGTTTATTGCATGTTCATGTTTGTTAGTTGGGATGATTTCAATAGAGATCAACTCATATTTGTTTAATTAATGTTAATATATATTTGAATA